TGGGAACTTGACCTTCAGAACCAGTCCAAGCTGGGTGCCAGCCCTGCTTGCTGTGGGACCTTGGACAGTTACCTGTCTCTCTCAACTGGGGTTAATAGTAATCTATCTCTCAGTGTTGCTGCAAAGGTTGTGAGATAATGGCATAGACCCATTATCTGCAATAGCTATTATAAGCACTCGCATATTGAGAAAGTCACATTATCTCTTTGTGCCTATTTTTTGTCCTATTAAAAAAAGATACATAAAGAACTTTTCTATTCATCAAAAGATACTACCAAGAAAAATTAAAAGATAAGCTACAAACTAGGAGATGTTTGCAACAGATAACTGATGGAAGATTCCGGTCCAGACCATATAAAGAACTCCTGTCAATCAGAGAGACGAGAAACAACCAAGTAGAAAACCGGGCAAAACACACCAACAGGCATTCCACAAGAGAAAATGAGTGGGCAATGAGTGCATGCACAAATGCAAATCACAGCCACAGCATTTTTAAAATCCCTTAAATTGGCCAAAAACTTGGAATCCCCATAATGGACATTTGCATGGCTATTCATGGGAGGATAAGGCGAGAGGATGTGGTACATGCTTATGAAGTCGAGAATCCGAGACCCAGAAGCCATTGGTCTCTCTTAGTTACACACCCAGAGCATGCACATAAAATGTGCACAGGGCCCCCCCCCCGTAACTCTGCCTTTCAAATAAATAAATCTTAAAAAAAAAAAAAAGTGCAGTGACAACGTTTCATAGTAGAAAACAAAAAAGCTAAGAAACAAATCAAATATCTAGGAGATGTCTGTAAGAGATGCTTACAGAAGGTGTGGGCTGTCCCCACAATAGAATATTATACAGTGATCAAAAAGAATCATAGCTGCATGGTTGAAAGTTAACAGAAGGAGCCAGCGCTGTGGCGCAGTGGGCTAATCCTCCCCCTGCAGCACCGACATCCCATATAGGTGCTGGTTCTAGTCCCGGCTGCTCCTCTTCCAATCCAGCTCTCTGCTATGGCCTGGGAAAGCAGTAGAAGGTGGCCCAAGTCCTTGGGCTCCTGCACTCATGGGGAGACCTGGAAGAAGCTCCTGGCTCCTGGTTGTGGCCATTTGGGCAGTGAACCAGTAGATGGAAGACCTTTCTGTCTGTCTCTTCCTCTCACTGTTTGCAACTCTACCTCTCAAATAAATAAATAAAATCTTAAATAAATAAATAAAATATTAAAAAGTTAACAGAAAATTCAGGGAAAGCTGCAAAGTTCACACAGCAGGAGGAGGGTACACTTGAGCTAAAATTAAGCAAAGTGATCCATTCTCCTCCATTTCTTTCAGCTCACAGGCACTCACACAATCACTCATGACATTGGTTTTCCATGGTCTCTGTTTCATTTGAAGGGGCAGAAAAGCCTTTTAAAATTAACAGTGATCTCAGAGGAAACACGGCCGCAACCAGAGACTAAGGAGGGAAAGCGGACCCGGACACTAGCCTTGGAAAGTGGCTGCCAATTATCTCTGAGGCAGCTGTGCGTGGTTAACTTGTCTGGGGAGGGGAGATGCCCTAAGCTCTGTTTCTGTAACTCCAGTCATAAATCTGTCCTATAAATCTGCCCCGGGCATCTCTTTTATAAGCGTACCAGACCCACCAACCATTGGAAGTGTGGCCTTAAGTCACGTAGGCTGCAATGTAAACCCACCAGTGCTGTAGGGATTAAGGTATGAGGCTGATGAACTGACCGTCAGTTCTCAGGAAATGATTCCAGCTGGCCTGCTGGCATTACTAAACTGCTTTCGATCCTCCACCACTTCTGGTGCCTGTTTGAGTGGAGTTTTCCCACCCCAGGTTTCTGTAACATAAATACAACTTTTATTTTATTTTGAAGTTTGTATTGATTTCTTTTAAAAATGTCTCCAAAATGGGAGAAGTTGGTTTTCACTGCTGGCCCTTACAGGCCCATAGACATCTCTGAAATGATCTAGAATTCAGTCAAACAACAGCCTCTGGGAGGTCCACAGGGTTCTGAACTTGGCTTCAAACCTGAGGAAATACTTGCTGGGCTGCTCAGCAACCAGAAAAGGGGCACTTGTTCTTTTCAAACCTGGATACGGGTTTCTTGGGACATTGGGTGAAGAGGTAAGAGTGAATAGCTGTCGCTCCCCCTCTTCGTGGAGGAGCAACACTAAACCCTGCGCTGTTCTTTCGTCTGCTCGGCCCTCCCCGGGTTTGCTGCTGGTTCTTCCCGGGTTGGCTACTATCCCTTCCACCTCCGTGGAAGGGCAGTTCCCCCTGGCCACATTCCCCACTTCCGCAGGGGAGCGGCACACCGCCAGCCGGCTTTCTCGGGGGCTGCACAGGTGTTCCCCTTAGATGTTCCCGGTGCATGCCGTCTCTCTCCTCCTTTATAGTCCTCCTCCGCCAATCCCAACTCGGCTGCCCACACGCCGAGTACGCTGCTCTCCTCCAATCAATAGCAAGTCCTACAGTTTATTGGTTGAACTGGAGGCAGCTGTGCGGAAGCTGTTTACTTCTCTCCCAGCGCCATATTGTGGGAGAGCAGATGCATAGAATAAGTCTTAATTCCAGTAACTCAGTCTAGTCCGGGTTGCTCCCCACAAATAGCAAGTGACAGTGTCCTCCCAAACCGTTTTGAAAATGTTTTGCCCCTGGACAAGGATAGCTGAATGCCAGGCCCTCTTGGTCCCATTAAGACAAGGCTACTCCCTGGGAACAAGCATTGTTAGCTTGCCTCCCCCCTCCCCCAAAACTCCACCATGTGGGTTTTGTTTTGTTTTGAGATTTATTTGAAAGGCAGAGTTACAGAGAGGCGGAGGGAGGGAGGGAGGGAGAGAGGGAGAGAGAGAAAGGTGTTCCATCTGCTGGTTCACTCCCCAATTGGTCACAATGGCCAGAGATGCGCCGACCTGAAGCCAAGAGCTTCTTCTGGGTCTCCCACACAGGTGCAGGCGCCCAAGGACTTGGGCCATCTTTACTGCTTTCCCAGGCCATAGCAGAGAGCTGGATCAGAAATGGAGCAGCTGGGACTTGAACTGGCGCCCCTATGGGATGCTGTCACTGCAGGCAGCAGCTTTACCTGCTATACCAGTGTTGGCCCCCAACTCTTTGAGTTTCCTTCAATCAATCAATCACACCTTCCCCGTCACGTGCCTCCCTCACTGCACTTAAAACCCCACTCCTCTGCAGAGTGCTCTTCTGTGTCCTCAGAAACTATCCTTAGGGAAGAATTTTAGTTGGGCATCAAACAGATTTCTCTCTCCAGGGGAAAACGGGAGCAGAAAATGTCGGGTTCTGGTTTTGTTTTTGGGATCAGCAAGTGTGGGCTCCCTCAGGAATGTGAAGCACTGGCCATCCCCAGGCATTGCTCTGAGAGGGGTGCTGACAATGGTGATATTGGTGGATCAAGTGTGTAAACTCAGACACAAAGAAAATTGGCTAGAATGTGCTAGAAGAGGGAAGTGGGGACAAATGAATTTACTGCTATCAGAGATAAAATGCTGTCTTAAGTAAAATCAAAGAGGCCTTTTCCTGTCAGATGCAAGTAACAGGGGGAAAATGAAGACTTGGGGTGAAAAGCGAACATTTCTCCCTCTAGAGCCCTACTCCTCCAGGCAGCCCAGACTGTCCCTGGGAGAAATCTGCAGACAATGAGGTCTTAAAAAAAAAAAAAAACAAAAAAACAAAACAAAACAAAAAAAACCACGAATTTGAGAGGCCGAGAGTTCCCATCCACTGGTTCACTCTCTACATGCCTGCAACAGCTAGGGCTGGGCCAGGGATGAAAGGAACTCAGCTCAAACTTAATGTAGATAGGAACCCAACCACTGCAGCCATCACCACCATCTCCCAGCATCTGCACTGGTGGGAAGCTGATCAGGAGCCAGGAGCGAGGAGCCAGAAGCCAGGAGCCAGAGCTGGGTGTCCAACTCAAGAAACTCCCATATGGCATGTAGGCGTCCAACCTACACCATAACTGCCAGGCTAAACAGCTGCCCCCAGTGAGGTCCTTGGTCTATAATTAAGGCCACAGAGCCCTCCAGGGGACAGGACACCCATTACTTTATTTCTCTCAATTTTAAAAGAAACTTGGTATTTAAGTCGATTATTTTTACAATTCACCTCTTTGAAGGGCGAGTACAGGCACACATGGCTTAAGGATGAGGATGCAACGGGCATTAGGTGATCTCGTGGTTGTGTGAGCATCGCAGCCACGCGTCAACTTACACAAATGAAGATGGCTATGACACCACAAGGTGGTGACAACCATCCAGTGTGTTGTCTGTTGTCACTGCAGTGCCGGACTGCGGTGATCCAAAGGCTCATCTGGGCTGGGAGGTAGGGGCAGGGTGGTCTCACAGGCTTGAAGGCAGATGTGCCATGGAAAACCGATTCCAAAACTTCGTGTGATAGCATCTGTTCCAAATTTAAAACAAGGAATACGTACAGCACATACACGCACCCATATTCCTGGCCTGTGACTCCTGAGGAATTTTCTTTTTTAAATAAAAGAAAATAAGAGGCAGCAGTCTCAGGATTGAAGCTGAAATCAGAGATGCACCAGGACCTGAAACTATGCTCTCTGATATGGGATGGAGAATCCTAAGCAGCATCTTAACCACTGTGCCACACATCCACCCTGGCTTCACGGTAGTGCAGACCGTGGGAGGCAGCAGGAAGCAGTCCAAGTACGCGGCCTCTGACACCCACAAAAGACATGGATTGAGTGCCAGCCTCCCGACCTGGGCCTGGCCAAGCCCTGGATGTTGTAGGCTTCTGGGGAGCCAACCAGCAGGTGCCAGATCTCTCTCCCCCACCTCAAATAAATAAAACTAAATGGAAAAAGATGGCATCAAAAGTTAAACAAGTTCCTCTTCCTCTGTGAATCATTTCTGGGGCCCTGGCTATGTATACATGCTATGGCGGTCATGGAATTCTCACCCCGGCTCCTTCAGAGCCCCGGGCCTCGTATTTTTGCGTAATGTAAAACAAACCCGCAGTCACTGAAACACAAGTTTATTTGGGCACTCGTGTCAAACACGGTCAAAGACAACATTCCGACAGCCCTGTGATAACTTGCAGCGGCAGCGTCACAGAAATAGCACTTGGGCAGAATGTCTTCAAGGCAAAGCCCATCGTTTATTTAACACTAAAATCAAATTATAAAAACACCAATTCCAACTTTAAAACAGCACTTTAAAAGCATGTATGTCATTCTAAGTTGGCATCAAGACATCTGCACAATCTGGAGTCCTAAATCCCACTACAATTTTCAACAACAAAGGGAAGAGTTTGGCGCTGGCTGGCGCTGGCTTCCACACAGCCCCAGTGACAGGCCAGGGATCCTCTATGCAATAATGCTGCCAAGTCTACTGAGGAGCAGAAAAGCAGCAAGGCTCTGGCCCACTTACACCTGCCACGCTAAGTGTCTCCAGCAGGGCTCTTCCCAGCCGGCAGCCCTCACGTCTTGGTTTGCAGATGTGAAGAGGGCTGGTTAACACCCTTTAATGACTACTTTGCAACTGCAAGCGGCTCCCTGACAGCCTTTCTCGACAGAGAACGGACTAAATGTGCGGGTGCTCCGACGATGTCAGAGACAAAAGCGAGCTCAGCTGAACCACAGCTCCTCCAGGCTGAGTGCAGAGTTGTGTGAATTCCAATTTCTGAATCCCTGGTTGCACAGGACCAAAGCTACCTGCTGTCTTTGGTGAAAGCCACGCTATTCATCGGCTTTTGCCTTACGGAAATTGGGGTCATTCCCCGCGGGCGGGCGGCAGAAGGTATTTACAAGTTGGACCAGCATTGTGGGGATGCTGTCCCCTGTGCAACCATAAGAGGAGGCAGACAGGCTCCAGAGATGGCCCAGTTCGCATCTGCTCTCTGTAGCTGGTGAAGCCGGACAAATGAGGCTGTCCAAATTCCCAGGCACAAGGCATCCAGTTCCAACTTGGCTGTGAGGTATGTCCATGACCTGTTCAAGGAAGACTGATTCTCCTTAGCTGCAGCTTCTTGGGTGAGCAGAGTGGGAGCATCCAGAGACTTAAGGGCCAAGTACCTCGTCTAGCAGGCCCCACCTTAGACTGCTGCAGGAAGCAAGCCCGTGAGATGGGACCCAATTCTGCTCCTGTACAAGGTCAACCAGCTCTTTCCAAGAACATACCGCAGGAAGCAGGGGCTGTGCCTCCAAGGAGCGACTCTGTCCTTCTGGCCTTCAGCTCTCCATGTCGGTGAATTTTCTCTTCTTATAATTCTGAACAAGGCTAGAAGCCGTGATTTGAGAAGCCTGCCCCTTCTCCCAACACTGGAAGTCATTCAGTCCTTTCTGCCCCGTCTGAAATAAGCCCCTCTCCAACTCATCTAGCCTGGCTACCAGGGTTGAAGTGTCTTCGTTGTAAGCATTCTGGGAGGAGTCCATGATGCGGCGAAAGCGTCCAATGAATGTCTGAAGGAGAAAGGAGGAAGAGACATCAAGAGTGATCTCGCATCTCATACAGCTAACCCATGTTTATCACAGAACATCTGAATGCTGTGACTTGGTCAAAAGGATACCCAAGAGGCCTCTGCCACTCAAGTAAGTTACTGCTCACTGTCATGCCTCGATTCCCTTGTAGGTGAAATGGTCTACTATGAAAACCCAATAGGCTGTTAGGACAACCAGTGAAGTTCATGTGTAAAACACCTAGCACACAGTAAACTCCTCAAAAAGCATTACCCCTCAGTGTCATTAGTCACTAAGGCCAAGATGTATGGAGATCACACACAAACACACCTGAATCAATTAAATGCACTTTCATCTTTCTCAGTCTGTGAGTGGGATGGAGACACCTACGACCTACAGGTGCTGTGCAGGACAGACTACGGCTGAGCAGAAGCCTTGAGCCCTGCTTGTTTTCTCCACTGTCTCATGGCAAAGTCAGCTTCTCCATAAGCAGCTAATCAGAAGCACTTCAGAGCAGTGACAGAAAAAACACACAATGCACGAAAAAGGGGGCGGAGCTCCAATCCAAGAAATACTCTGAGGGCATTGTATGACGAACAGATTTTCCTGGGTGGTTTTTTTTTTTTTTTTGCTTTTTTTAAGATTTATTTTATTTATCTGAAGGACAGAGTTACAGAGAGAGATAGAGACACAGAGAGAGAGGTCTTCCATCCGCTGGTTTACTCCCCAGATGGCTACAACGGCCGGAGCTGTGCTGATCCGAAGCCAGGAGCCAGGAGCTTCCTCCAGGTCTCCCACATGGATGAAGGGGCCCAAGGACGTGGGTCATCTACTAATGCTTTCCCAGGCCATAGCAGAGAGCTGGATCGGAAGAGGAACAGTCAGGACTAGAACTGGCGCCCATATGGGATGCCGGCACTTCACGGCAGGGCTTTAACCCACTGCGCCACAGCACCGGCCCCAGTTTTTGCTTTCTATTCAAGAGTTTTATAATCTTGAGTTCTAATGTATAATTATGCCTAAATTCTATGCACTGACTTCTTTTTCTGAACAGAGCACCATTTTTCTCTACTATCTACATTAGGAACAGTACTAGTATGTGGTAGACCAAATCTCTATCTTAAGGGTGCACGGAGCCTAGAAGTCGTACAGCACGATCAAGGCACACAACTAGTTCTAGGCAGAGCCAGGTCTTAATTTCAGAACAAGGAAAGGGAACAAATCATCAAAGAACTCATGCGTTTCCAACAGGAACCCCCAAAGCAGGCCCGGGACTAGGCTGGGACGTGTATCTCGGTTACCTCCAGGCCACCATCACCCTGGTCTCATTTCCTGGACTTCCTGCCGGTCCCAACTCTTAGCAAGCAAACAAGAACAGCAGCAGACAAGTCATACTGAAAAAACACAAGGGAGCGGCGTAGCAGTCAAGATGCTGCTTACAACCCCTGCGTCCCATACTGCAGCGCTGCTTCTGTTCCTGATTCAAGCTTCCTGGGAAAGCACACCCTGGTGATGACTCAAATTCTTGGGTCCCTGCCATCCATGTGGGAGATGCAGATGGAGTTCCCAGTTTCTGGCTTTGGTCAGACCCAGCCCTGGCTACTGTGGGCATTTGGAGAATAAACCAGTAGACAGGCAGTCTCTGTCTCTCTGCCTTTAAAATAAATAAAAACATTTTTAAAACTACACAACCAGCAGACATAGTATAACTGCAGGCTGGCCTATAATTGTTTGTTTGTTTGTTTTTTATAGATTATTTATTTGAAAGGCAGAGTTACAGAGAAGTAGAGGCAGAAAGAGAAGTCTTCCATCCACTGGTTTACTCTCCAAATGACTGTAACAGCCAGAGCTGCGTTGACCCGAAGTTCGGAACCAGGAGCTTCTCCCAGGTCTTCCACATGGGTGCAGGGGCCCAAGGACTTGGGCCATCTTCTACTGCTTTCCCAGGCCATAGCAGAAAGCTATATTGGAGCAGCTGGGACTCGAACCAATGCCCATATGGGATGCCGGCACTGCAGGCAGTGGCTTTAGCCGCTACGCCACAGCACCAGCCCCAACACATTGAGTTTACAAATCACACACTTACCTGTGTAAGCCACATCTGACGGCCACCACAGGCAGCTCCTGAGACACGTGCCATGCCCTAGGTTTTCACAGGCAGTACTCACCTGTAGCAGACACTGGGAGATATCTGCATTCTCTGGGCTGTCAAAGTGCAGGAGCTGGGAACCAAAGCCATAGAAATGCGGGCCCATTTTGTGCAGGTCCACCACGTTGGCATCGGCGCTGAACACTGTCCTCCAGCCCTGCTGGTAGAGCTTGGGAAGCTCTGCAGAAAGGACCCGCCGCTTGTTGTCAAAGAGCCCCTTTGCCAGCCACAGGGGCAGCTCAAGCTTTGAGCCCTGCACCAAACGAGAAGGTAGACTTGAAAAACAGAGAAACAAGGAAAGACCCCTGGCTCCAGCAATACAGCCTGCTCTCTTTGGGGGAGACACCGGCAGAGGCAGAAGACCTGGCTGTGACTTGAGGAAATAAGCTGTGTGGGCTGAGAGTCTATGTCATGATGGAATGGAAAGAAAATATGAATATAAACCACAAAAATATGGTGGAGCAAAATAATGTAGGCCAAGGGAAAGTTTCCTAACAAATATAAGTTGTGTCTAATCACAGACATTGCAGAGGCAAGCATTTCCACTGTCTTTGTTCAATATCTATTCCGCACACACTTGATACCAGGGAACAGAAGGAAAAACAGAAAGCCGGAGCTCAGGTAGCCCCTCCCCATCCCATTCTTTACTTTTAGAGGTAACAGGAAAGGTAAATGTTGGAAAACAGGAATGAGGTGATCAAAACAAAATAAACCCCACAAAAGCAAACATAACTGGATAAAAGAAAGCAGCAAAGACATAAAACATTCACATGGGAGAACTGTTGCAAAGGTGGGAACAGCTCTAGGCTGTGTGGGCAGAGCTTTTGGCAAACCTCCCAGGACTGGGGAGAGAAACATTGAGTTCAAAGCTGGCAGAGCAACCAGGACGTGCAGGGCAAGATCTGAGAAAGAAGGGAGAGAATTAAGCCCAATACTTGGCACCAAATATTAGAACCGTTAGCACCAGACTTTAAAATAGAGGGAAAAAATCAAATGGAAATTCCAGAACTGAAAAACAAAGTAGCTGAACCAAGAGGTCAATAGATTAAATAAAGTTTAACAGTCATGCCAGATTTAACACACGTGAAGAGGTGATCATGAACTATAAAAAAAATTCAGTGGAAAACATCCAGACCAAAGCATGGAGATAAAATACAGAGAGGAGCATGAGCCTAATATGTACATAGTTTGAATCCCCGAAGGTAAGGAGACATAAGTTGGGGCAAAAGAATTATCCGAAGAAATAATATTTATGGGGCTGGCACTGTGGCATAGCAGGTAAAGCTTCTGCTTGCAGTGTCGGCATCCCATATGGGCGCCAGTTCGAGTCCCAGCTGCCCTACTTCCGACTCAGCTCTCTGCTATGGCCTGGGAAGGCAGTGGAAGATGACCCAAGTTCTTGGGCCCCTGCATCCACAAGTGAGAAGCGGAAGAAGCTCCTGGTTCCTGGCTTTTGGATAGGCCCAGCCCCGGCTGTTGTGGCCATCTGGGGAGTGAACCAGCAGATGGAAGACCTCTCTCTCTCTCTATAACTCCACCTTTCAAATAATACAAATTAAAAAAAAAAACTTAGAAAAAATATTTATGCATTTTCCAAAATTAAAGATATCAAATCACAGATTCTAGGAACACTATGAACGAGTAGGATAGATACTAATAAACCACAACTAGGCACATCTGACCCAAATAGCTGAGAACCAAAGATATAGAAAAAGTCTTCAAGGCAGCTGTGGAGTGGGAGTAAGGAACACACTGTTTTTAGTTTTTATTTTTTTTATTTTTTATTTATTTATTTTTTTGATAGGCAGAGTGGACAGTGAGAGAGAGAGACAGAGAGAAAGGTCTTCCTTTGCCGTTGGTTCACCCTCCAATGGCCGGCGCGCTGCGGCCGGCGCACCGCGCTGATCCGATGGCAGGAGCCAAGACCAGGGGCTTCTCCTGGTCTCCCTGGGGGGGTCCGGCGGTAATCCCTGTTTTTAAAGAAGGAGCAGGGCCAGCGCCGTGGCTCACTAGGCTACTCCTCCGCCTTCCGGCGCCGGCACACTGGGTTCTAGTCCCGGTCGGGGTGCCAGATTCTGTCCCAGTTGCCCTCTTCCAGGCCAGCTCTCTGCTGTGGCCAGGGAGTGCAGTGGAGGATGGCCCAAGTGCTTGGGCTCTGCACCCCATGGGAGACCAGGAGAAGCACCTGGCTCCTGGCTCCTGCCATCGGATCAGCGCAGTGCGCTGGCCGCGGCGGCCGTTGGAGGGTGAACCAACAGCAAAGGAAGACCTTTCTGTCTCTCTCTCTCACTGTCCACTCTGCCTGTCAAATAAATAAAATAAAGAAGGACCAGACCAGGAAAAGGTAAAGCCAAGTTCCCAGTAGAAACTACCAAAGCCCCAAAACATTGGGAACAGAGGGACTTTTTTTCCCCTAAAGTGCTGGAAGAAGTTAACTGGTGTTGCACAGCGGTAAGATCCTTTCAAGGAAAGGTGAGGTGCAGGTGACTGGTAGAGGGATTAAGACAGCACTTGGGGTGCCTGCATTCCCTAATGGACTGCCTGAGTTCAAGCTCTGGCTCTTCCATTCCCGATTCCAACATCTTGCTAACGTACACCAAGGGAAGCAGCAGGTCATGGCTCAAGTAGTTGGGTCCCAGGGCCGGTGTAGTGGCATAGCTGGTAAAGCTGCTGCCTGTGACGCCAGCATCCCATATGGGCGCCTAAGAAAGCAGTGGAAGATGGCCCAAATGCTTGCCCTGCACCCACAAGGGAGACCTGGAAGAAACTCTGACTCCTGGCTTTGGCCGTTCAGCGCCGGCCATTGTGGCTATTTGGGGAGTGAATCAGCGGATGGAAGCTCTTGCTAACTCTGCCTTTCAAGTACATAAATTATATATATAAAAAAAAGCCTTAAAAATAAATTAAATAAACTCTGGGTCTGTGTGGGCAGATTCCCCCTTCCCCCCTTTTTTTTCTCTGTAACTCTTTCAAATAAGTCTTAAACAAAAAAAAGTAGTTGGATCCCTGTCACCCACATGATTGAGTTATTGGCTCCTGGCTTTGGCCTGACACAGCCCTGGCTGTTGTGGGCATTTGGGAGTAAACCAACAGATGGAAGATCTCTGATTTTTTGCCTTTTAAATAAATTAAAAAAAAAAACTATTAAATAAAAGCAAGGTGGAATAAAGGCATTTCCAGACAGAAAGTATGCAGGAAAGAGTTAACACGGCAGGTCTGAAAGGGTTTCCTGCTCTTGACGGGGTTGGCCCTTGGTGGTGTCTGGATACTTAGATTTCAGGAGGGTTCTAGAATCCATGGGAATGTCTTACTGTCCCTAAATTATTTGCACAATGTAGTTATTGAATACCTGCTTTCCTTGGAGTCTGGAAGTTTGGTGTATGGTTGGCAGAGTGCCTACATGACCACTCTCCAGCAACACTTTGGATACTAGGTGCACTTCTCTGGTGGACACGATTTCCCGCATGTGGTCAGAATTCAATATTGGAGAATTTAAATGCATCCCGTTAGAGCCACTGGAGATGATCCTAGAAGCTTGTGCCATATCTCCTCCTGACTGCACCCTATGCCCCCTCTCCTGTTGCTGATTCTGCTGCATATCCTTTCACTGTAATACATTTAAACCAAGAATACAACTATCTGCCAAGTCCTTAGGATCTCTTAGTCAGTTATCAAGCCTGGGGTTGATCTTGGGATCTTCTGACACATACAGAAACATAATTTATTGCCAGAAGACCAGAGTAAATAAATCTTTTTTTTAATTTAATAAATGTGAATTTACAAAGTGCAACTTTTGTATTGTTGTGCGCCCCCTCACCAACCAGAGTAAAGAAATCTTGAAAAGGAGAATGGAAATGATGGCAACACAGAAATATAGGAATTAAAAATAAGCAATGGAGAGAGTAAATAAGTGGGTAAATATACTACAGGGTTTAAAATGTGTCAAATTAAAATACATGACAGTAACACAAAAGGAAGGAGAAAACGGGGTCACAGTGTTCTAAGATGCTATGCCTGTAACGTGAGAATAGCTAACAGAACATTCTTACTTGTCAAAATGATTATATAATATTTATACTCAGAAAAATAATAGAATATATGACTAAATAAACTAATACAAAGGTAAATGGATGATAAATAAACTTGAGGGACATTTGGCAATACTAAAAGGGTCATTAAATCCACCAGAAAAATAAATAAAAAGTTTACCTACACCAATAGAAGTCAAAGAAGAAACAGACAAATCCATAATCATCGTGGGAGACATTAATATATTCCTGACAGAAATAAAATGCAGCAAATGGAAACTCAGCCAGGATGGAGACGATCTCCACAAAACTAACAAATGCAACCTAATTTACATATTTAGATTATTCATCTCACACCATGACTTCACAACACACATCTTTTCCAGTGCAATAGGATGGCTAAACTGAGCTTATGCTGGGGTATAAGGTATGTTTTGGCAGCTCTGTAAGACTGAAATGATTCAGACTGTGTTTAGTGTGTCTTGATGACACCACTAAAAAGGCATGGGCCCTGTGGATCTGGAAAGCAAGGCAGGGCCTAGTATATCTTTTGTTGTAAATCTCCTGAAATTGTTGACTTTTTTTTTAAGATTTTTATTATTTATTTGGGAGGTAGCATTTCAGACAGAGAGAGGCAGAGACAGAGAGAAAGGTCTTGCATCTGCTGGTTCACTCCCCAAATGGCCACAACAGCCAGAGGTAGGCCAATCTGAAGCCAGGAGCTTCTTCTGGGTCTCCCACATGGGTACAGAGACCCAAGGACTTGGGCCATCTTCTACTGCTGTCCCAGGCCGTTGCAGAGAGCTGGATGGGAAAAGGAGCAGCTGGGACGGTGGCTTAGCCTACTGAACCACAGTACTGGCCCTGGTACTACTGACTTTTTTAAAGATTTATTTATTTAGAGGTCACTCCCCAGTTGGCTGCAACGGCTGGGGCTGTGCAGATCCGAAGCCAGGAGCCAGGAGTTTCCTCTGGGTCTCCCAGGTGGGTGTAGGGGCCCAAGGACTTGGACCACCTTCTTCTGCTTTCCCAGGCCACAGCAGAGAGCTGGATGGGAAGTGGAGCAGCCGGGTCTTGAACCGGTGCCCATATGGGATCACTGGTGCTTCAGGTCAGGGAGTCAACCTACTGCACCTCAGCGCCAGCCCCTGGTACTACTGACTTTTAAAACCGTGTAAGCTGGGGCAGGTGTTGTGGCACAGCAGGTTAAGTTGCTGCTTGGGACACTCAGAGTGCCAGTTTAAGTCCAGAATTTTGGCTATTCCACTTCGGATCCAGCTTCCTGCTAATGCTCCTGGGAGGAAGTAGATGATGGCCCAAATACATATGTGGGAGACCTGGATTGAGCTCCAGACTCCTGGTTTCCATCTGGCCCAGCCCTGGCTATGGTGGGCATTTGAGGACTGAACAGTAAATGGACAGTCCCTCTTCTGTCACTCTTCAAACAAAATAAATAAATTTTAAAAAATGGTGTGTGCATTACTTTAATAAAAATTAGCTTGAAACATGGAGATCAAACAAAAACACCTTTCTAAACAAAACTTACATAAACAGGAAAGAAAGACTAACCATTACAAGCCATAGCCCTGAGAGAAATTTATATTTGAAGTCCTACCCTTGGGTTGAATCTCAGCTGACCACTTCTTGTGGAACCCTGGGCAAGTTATCCATTCACTCTGGGCTTGAGTTCCTAGCATGTAACATCTAAAAAAAGGGTGTTGGGGACTGGTGTTGTGGCATAGCAAGTTAAGCTGCCACCTGCAACGCTGGCATCCCATATGAGCGCAGGTTGGGGTCCTGGCTACTCCACTTCCAATCCAGCTCCCTGTGAGTGAGCCTCAGACAGCAGCAGCAGATGGCCCACGTACTTGGGCCCCTGCCACTCTCGTGGAAGGCCTGGATGTAGTTCCAGGCTCCTGGCTTTAGCTTGGCCCAGCCCCAGCCACTGGGGGAGTGAGCCAGCAGGTGAAAGGTCTCTCTCTGTCTCTCCCTCTAACTCTGCCTTTCAAATAAATAAGTCAGTCCTAAAAATTAAAAAAGAAAAAAAAAGGCAAAAAAAGTTCATAGAAAACGGGATTTAAAATATAAATTTATTTAGGTGCAGATTTTTTTTTTGAAGTTTTTTTTTTTTTCCATACACTTTTTGAAGACTTGAATGCAAAGTTCCAAGTGTTTCGGGCCTAAATTAAGTCTAACTTCACAGACCACTTCCTACGAACTTTTTTGAGCTGCCCCCCTACGAGCTCTCAGTAAATGGGAACGCATCCAGCAATTTACCGTTCCCCGGGCACGCGTGCTCTGCCGTAACGCAAACGTGATCAGAACCCCGAGCCCAGCCTACGCGGCCGGCGCCAGTCCTACAGCGGTCACCACACGAGGACGCCGAGCGAACCACACTGACGACCGTGACCGTTCGCAACAAGAAATCCGCGCGGGAGGACGCCGGGCCACGCAAGCTAAACGAAGACTCCGCGCGCGGGGAACGCCACGCCCGGGGGCCGCGGCGCGTGCGGAGGCGGCCTCGCCCCGCCGGCGACCCCCGCGCGCCCGCCTCGGCCTCGCCCCCGCCCCCGCCCCCGCCGGCTCACCTGTGGGATGGCGTGGTCGCTCTCGGCGCCCGTGCTCCGGTCCTGGAAGAAAACGCCGAGGCGAGGCATGGGGATCTCTGTGCGCACCGGAAGCTTCTCGTGGGACATCAGGATGTCGTCCAGGGACAGAAAGTTCTCCTCGGCCCCCAGCGCCCCCGACTCCACGGGGAAGTATGCTTCGGACATGGCGGCGACTTGAGCTTCTCCGCTTCCACTCGGGGAATCTCCCGGAGTCAGGAGTGTAAAGAGAAGAGGAGAGGAGGAGGAGGAGGAGGTCGGACAGGGTGGCAGGGACTGAGGCGATCACTACCGCAGCCTGAGGAGATTGAAACTTCCCGCGTCCCGGGCCAGACAGAAGTAGTGGATCAGAGCTGCCCAGGCAGAAGCAATCGATAAAGCCTGCGGCTTGGCCGGGCGCGACCAGGGCCCGGGAGCGGCCGCCGGTCCGCCGGAAGTTTCCTTCCCTGTGCCTGCAGCTTAGTGTGGGAAAGTTACAGAGCCGCGGGAGGGCCCTAGAAGCTACCTGATGCTGACACATGGGTGGGACTTCAGAAGAAAGGCATCATGCGCCCCCCACTCGAGGCCTGAATAATGTCTAACCCTTTACCACAGTTCCTGTCAGGTTGCATCTCTGTTAAATTTGGTATTTGAAAGAAACATTAAAAGTATCTCCAGCGCTAGTTCCAGATATTTATTTTATTTATTTTTTTTAAAGATTTATTTATTATTTGCTTGAAAGAGTTACACAGAGAGAGAAGGAGAGGCAGAGAGAGAGGTCTTCCATCCATTGGTTCACTCCCCAGATGGCCATAATGGCTGGAGCTGCCACTGATCCGAAGCCGGGAGCTTTTTCTGGGTCTCCCACGTGGGTGCGGGAGCCCAAGGACTTGGGCCATCTTCTACTGCTTTCCTAGGCCATAGCAGAGAGCTGGATGGGAAGTGGAGTAGCCAGGACTCGAACCGGCGTCCATATGGGATGCCAGCACTGCAGGCAGCAGCTTTACCCACTACCTCACAGCGCCGACCCCTCCAGATATTTATGATGGAGTAGATTGGGAACTGTTTGTGATATTGGGGGGCATTGTGGGGTGGGGTGGAGGCTGGGGAGGATGGAGCACCAGTACTTTAGGGCCTCTCAACTTCTCATCAGCAGTCTCCTTTTGTGGCTCCTAATTGAAATCCCTAAAAGGAAATTCAGCTGGTCATATTTATCTTTTTGAGGTGGGCTGCCCTGATCTTAGATTGCCAGCCACCTTATAGATGGGGTGCCTGTGTCAGGTGCCATAACAGTCCAGTGGCTGGTGGGGGCGGGGCAGAAGAGGGATCGTGGTCACGTGGTACCCGACCTGGCACTATGCACCCAGGCCTAGGAGGGGTGGCAGATGGCTGAGAGATGTACCACAGAATTTACTGAGTATAAAAGAGCATCTCAGACTGTGAGCAAAGGGTGCATGGGAAGGGAGGTATGTATTAATCACAGCTTTTATTTTCTGTATTGTGTTGTAGTGTTGAATGAAGCTTTGAATTTATTAATGTATTTACATAATTTATAACCTTTAAACAATGATCTCATAAATTTAGACTTCAATTTCGCACATGCTAAGCAACAGATACTTGGTTTTCCGCACCAAAAATGTGCACTTTTTTTTTTTTTGACAGGCAGAGTGGACAGTGAGAGAGACAGACAGAGAGAGAAAGGTCTTCCTTTTGCCGTTGGTTCACCCTCCAATGGCCGCCGCTGCAGCCGGCGCACCGCGCTGATCCGATGGCAGGAGCCAGGATCCAGGTGCTTTTTCCTGGTCTCCCATGGGGTGCAGGGCCCAAGCACCTGGGCCATCCTCCACTGCACTCCCTGGCCACAGCAGAGGGCTGGCCTGGAAGAGGGGCAACCGGGACAGAATCCGGCGCCCCAACCGGGACTAGAACCCGGTGTGCCGGCGCCGCAAGGTGGAGGATTAGCCTATTGAGCCACGGCGCCGGCTCCACTTTTTTTTTAAATTAAGATTTATTTATTTATTTGAAAGGCAGAGTTACAGACAGAAAAGAGAGAGGGAGATCGTCTGTCTACTGATTCACTCTCCAAATAGCCACAACAGCCAGGACTGGAACGCCAAAGCCAGAAGCCTAGAACTCCATGCAGGTCTCCCATGTAGCGGCAGGGCCCAAGGATTTGAGCCATCTTCTGCTGCTTTCCCAGGCACATTAGCAGGGAGCTGGACCAGAAATGGAGCCGCTAGGATGCAAACTGGCACCCTTATGGGATGCTAGCTTTGCAGGCGGTGGCTCCACCCACTGTGCAACAACACTGGCCTCACCACTTTTTTTCTTCACCTATTCAAAATTTTATTTAGTGTCAGCAAATTAATTTTAATCTCTGGACATAAAAACATAACAGTAAGCTTCAAAGCTTGTATAAGGGCTAAATTCTGTCCACTGTAACTAAGTGATACTTTAAGTACAGCAATTAAGATTTGAGACTCTTGGCCGGCACCGCGGCTCACTAGGCTAATCCTCCGCCTCGCGGCGCCAGCACACAGGGTTCTAGTCCCGGTTGCGGCGCCAGATTCCGTCCTGGTTGCCCCTCTTCCAGGCCAGCTCTCTGCTGTAGCCAGGGAGTGCAGTGGAGGATGGCCCAAGTACTTGGGCCCTGCACCCCATGGGAGACCAGGAGAAGCACCTGGCTCCTATCATCTGATCTGTGCGGTGCACCGGCCGCGGCGGCCATAGGAGGGTGAACCAACGGCAAAGGAAGACCTTTCTCTCTGTCTCTCTCTCTCTCTCACTGTCCACTCTGCCTGTCAAAAAAAAAAAAAAAAGATTTGAGACTCTTTTATTTTATTTTGACTCTTAACATTGGTATAAGTATATGCCAAACCCCAGTTTTAAATGTTGAAATTGTTAAGGTTTACCCTCATATTCTTCAAAAAATTAATTGAAACATTATTAACAGAGAAATTATTCATCATAGCTTATTTCTTATTTGAAATAACTTAAAGTTCTCCATAATATATTTTTCTAATAAGTTAAAAATGTCCTACAATTTTATTTACTCAAAATTCTAATTTAACTCTGTAAAGGCACAATGTGGAGAGAAGGAAATTCTTTAGTTGAAATTTGCTTAATTTCCAATAGAATTTTAACTTGTAAAGTTAATAAATAAAACTACAGTTAATGATGACTCTTAATCAGGACTTTCTTTTTTTTTTTTTTGAATTTTATTTTTATTTATTTGAAAGGTAGAGTTACAGAGAGAGTGGGCAGAGAAGGAGATCTTCCATCTGCTGATTCACTCTTAAAATGGTTGCAACCAATAGGGACTCCAGGGGTCCCCTGTAAAGGAAAGAAAAAACACATGTAACTCTCCCGAAGCCTTGAGGAGTCATGAGGTTGAGGGGACATACACAATGTAACCTTCAGATGTTGCTGAGTCTGCTAATGGATTGAGCACTCTACTTACTTCTTTGCAAAATAGAATATTGTTTTTTAAAGATTTATTTATGTATTTGAAAGTCGGAGTTACACAGAGAGAGGAGAGGCAGAGAAAGAGAGAGAGAGGTCTTCCATCTGCTGGTTCACTCTCCAATTGGCTGCAATGGCTGGATTTGTGCCGATCCAAAGCCAGGAGCCAGGAGCTTCTTCAGGGTGCAGGGGCCCAAGGACCTGGGCCATCTTCTGTTATCCCAGGCCATAGCAGAGAGCTGGATCCGAAGAGGAGGAGCTGGGACTAGACCCAATGCCCATATGGGATGCCAGCGCTTTGGGCCAGGGCGTTAACCCGCTGCTCCACAGCACCAGCCCCTGCAAAACAGAACACTCTAACGTCAGTTCCCTGATTGGTTCAGGTAGCATGCCTCATTAGCATACACTTTTAGTTTCCTGATTGTTGTTATTCTTGCCTTCTGATTGATTGTTATTCTGCCCCTCCTCTGATTGGTTAAATCTGTACTCATTTTCCAGAAAGGGGCCAGAGAGAGCCACTTTATGTATTAAAGAGTGAGCACTGGCGAGCTTCTTTAGCAACTCCTCCCTTGGAGTCTCCCTCCTGACTGCTGCGGCAGGAGGTCTCTCTCTTTGAATAAACTTCACTTTGCTCACTGGCTCGTTCACATGGACATTCTTCTTCAACATGAGTCTCCCACGTGGGTGGCAGGGGCCCAGGCATTCCACTGCTTTCCCAGGCGATTAGCCGGGAGCCGGACAGTAGGGCAGCAGGGACTTGAAGCGGTGCCAGTTTGGGATGCCAGCATTGCAGCTTTACCCGCTACACCAGAGCACTACCACCCCTTCTAACAATGGTAATGGGAAGCCAAGGAATTACAATTTCCACAAGGTCTTTTTTTTTTTTATAAATTCATTTTATTTATTTGAAAGGCAGAATTTCATAGAGAGACCTTCTGTCTGATGATTCACTTCCCAAATGCTACAACAGCTGGGACTGGGCTAGGCGAAAGCCAGGAGCCTGGAACTCCTGGGTGGCAGGGGTCCAAGCACTTGGACCATCTTCCACTGCTTTCCCAGGCACATTAGCAGGGAGTTGGACCAGAAGTGGAGCAGCTGAGACTCAAGCAGACTCTCAAATGGGATGCCAGCATCATGGGTGAAGGCTTAACACAATGTGCCACAACACTAGCCCCTCCCCACAAGCTCTTTTTGCCCCTTAAGAAACACCAAAGTGCCAATTTTCCCTTTACAGACTTTGCATAAAATCTTGATTACAAAACCACTCAACAATCTAATCCTACCATTCCTACAATTATACATTTCTTTTCAGGAAGGTCAGAAGCTAATGATGGGGGCTGGCACTGTGGTGTAGCCAGTAAAGCTGCCGCCTGCAGTGCAGGCATCCCATATGGGTGCTGGTTCGAGTCCCAGCTGCTCCACTTCTGATCCAGCTCCCTGCTAATGTACCTGGGAAAGCAGTGGAGGATGGCCCAAGTGCTTGGGCTCCTGCACCCACGTGAGAGACCCGGAAGAAGCTCCTGGCTCCTGGCTTTGGATTGGCCCAGCTTTTGCCATTGCAACCATTTGGGGACTGAACCAGCAGATGGAAGATCTCTCTCTAACTCTGCCTTTCAAATAAATAAATAAATCTTTTTTTTTTTTTTTTTTTGACAGGCAGAGTGGACAGTGAGAGAGAGAGACAGAGAGAAAGGTCTTCCTTTGCCGTTGGTTCACCCTCCAATGGCCGCCGCGGCCGGCGTGCTGCGGCCAGCGCACCGCGCTGATCCGATGGCAGGAGCCAGGATCCAGGTGCTTTTCCTGGTCTCCCATGGGGTGCAGGGCCCAAGCACCTGGGCCATCCTCCACTGCACTCCCTGGCCACAGCAGAGGGCTGGCCTGGAAGAGGGGCAACCGGGACAGAATCCGGCGCCCCGACCGGGACTAGAACCCGGTGTGCCGGCGCCGCTAGGCGGAGGATTAGCCTAGTGAGCCGCGGCGCCGGCCACAAATAAATAAATAAATCTTAAAAAAAAATGATAAAGCTAATGATGGAGGCCCTGTGTAGAGATTCTTTGCATAACAACAGTCTACAAAATGCAATATCATTGCTACAGTCTTCAAAGAGGGAACAGAACTGGTCATTTTCCATGAATCCTTCTTGCCTGAAGACTCAAGATTGGCTAGGAGAAAATGGATAACAAGGCCCATTGTTAACTTTCGACACTTCAGCATCAAGTCTGAGAGACTAAGACTCAGTCAACATCAGCTTCACGCTATGAAGTCTGTTTTCAGAGCCTGAAGGCTTTACCACCAGATGGCGGGTTGGCGTCAGTGGATGAAATTCTTTTACTGATTTCTATAAAGAGTTCATTTATGTTGATTGAGTTTTTGTGTGAGCTGGTCTCTACAAAAATTGCATGAATGGAGTTGGCATAGTCCTTAGCATCTCTCTCCATGGCTTTTTTTACATTGATATGATCACTCGTATTTCTCACATTGCAACTTCAATGTTAGTGAGCAATGCTGTTAGAGGTCTCCCAACTCTTTAATGTTGCAACTGTCTCTTGTGATATTGACTGATTATAGCTGCAGATGACTCTTAACAGTACATTAGGGTTACAGTACAAAATTGTTCTCATCCAGCTATATTCCAGATTGGGAATTTGTGTAGCTCATTTTGGTATCAAGCAGTCTTGGTGCTAAATGATGCCCTGTTGTTGGGTTGATGATTGGATAAAAATCGTCTTCTACAAACTGCCTTACGAGACTTGATTTACCATACTTGTGTCCCCAGCAGACACTGAGCTCCTTGGACACTAGGGCCCAGGAGTCTAGGATGCAAGTCTGCTCTTACCGCAATTTGAGGACAGAGAGGCTAGGCCCTTCCCATGCCAGCTCAGAGGCTGCTGCCAATTGGGGGCTATTTTCTGTATTTTATGTTGTCTTAGGGCTTTGGGGAAGCAGACAGTAATTGTCCCTCCAGAGTCAGTGAATTCCTAGACATAGCAATCAACCTGTGAACATATCTTTCATATAAACCAATCCAAGTCCATATCCCCAACCTCTTTATCTAACAGACATAGCAAGCCAAAATTTCCCCAGCCCTAAATCACTGCAGTAAATCCCCCCAAGGTCAAGTACAGGACAATTACAGG